TTTTTTTTTTTTTTTGTATGTAATTTTGTACACTGTTCATCATGATTTTCATGATGTTTTGAGTTTGTTCTTTGGATGTTTGTTTTCGTACTTTAACCTCTAGTTCTTTCAAAGTCTGTTCTATGAGGTTTTTAACTCTGGCGAGCTGTGTAGTGGTTTGTGGTTCAAAACGTGTGGACCCTTTACAGAGACAACACAAGCACTGTAGACGTCGCTTTTTGATGAGACCTTTGCGACTTCTTTCTGTATGCTTAGGATTCGTTTTCTCTATGCTTTCATTTTTTTTTTCCCCAGACATACACAGACAGTTGTTTCCCAATACCCCCATTTTTGGTGTTTTTCTTTCGAGAGCTGGAGGCGCGGGGGGGTGGGAGGAGTGAGAAGGGTAAAGGGGCGCGGCGGAAAAAGAGAGGGAAAGAAAGAGAAGAATGAAGGAGTTAGGAGTGGCAAAGCCAGATGGAAGACCAACCCTTAGGTATGCCCTAGTTACCTGCCCTTCTTCCAGTTTTATGATGCTTGCCATGCACCTCCCCCACACAAAAATACACTTCCACACCCGCTTATCTTAGCTCCCCTGTAGATTGTTAAACTAAATTTCCCTTTAGAAATGTGATAGTTTCCTATCTTTTATCTTTCTTGTTTCTTCATATTACGCCTTTATGCTCAGCGGATACACACCATTGTACGATTTACATAGCCCACAAATTAAGAACAGTTAAAAAATGTCTTGTTGTTTGTCATGTTTTAAATTTGTCTTCATCAGCAAAATAATAACTAAGATGCATCGCCCTCCTATTTATTCAGCCAGTCCCAGTTTGGGGAATGTTTCTGTGTGGGTGTATTTTATCATGGATTTTGTGATTCTGCATTTAAATGCTATAATTGACGTTTGTCCCCCTCGCCGCCCTTTTTCTCCCTAAAAAAAAAGTTTTACGGGAAGCAGAAAGGCCCATTTGTAATCCCCCCCCGCCCCCCAGCTCTCTCTGAGAACTTCGTGCTCGATATCGCATCAGCAGCAGTTTCGGTGTGAAATTTCTTGTAAGTAGAAAATTTCTTTGTTTCTAGCCTCGCATGTAAATTCTTTCCTGCTTCTTTTGTTTATGTGTTGTTGTTTTTTGATTCAGCAAGTCACCCCCACCCTTTCTCAACCTGCTATGAAATTGAAAAATGCGGGGTTTTTTTTCTTTTGTTTTGTTTTCTTTTTTTTTTTTTGGGTTTTGTTTTTCCCGTTGTTTTGTTTTTTGTGTTTTTTTGTTGTTTTGGTTTGTTTGTTTTTTTTCCTTCATTCAAATTTTCCAATTATTAATAATAAAGTCTTCTCATCATGTTGTAGTTCACTTTCGTCGGTCCCCCCCCCCCCCCCCCTTGCCCTCTTGCTACCTTTGTTTTCAATCTGATTTTCTTCTGTAAAGCATTTTTATCCAAATATTACTTTTAGTGAACTTGGTTTAACATTGGAATATAATATGTGGTGCCTTAACTCTTTCGCTAGATATATTTTAAAATAGAAATCATAAGTCATTTAGCAATTTTTCGAATTGATGTTATTTATTCTACTTATGGTGATAAAATTTATCAATTTTCGAAAATGTTGTTGTATTTCTTATGACCGTGACCCATTTTTCAAAATAAAGAGAATTATTATGAAGTATTTTATGTTGTAATTAGCGTGAGGTTAAAGATAAGTTAAACAGTTAAAATTAAAAGCAAAGATTTTTAAATTATTTAAAGCACAATCAAAAAATTTAACAAACAACCCCGCCCGGCCAAAACAATAATCAACTTGAATTTCATATTTTTTTTTACCAAAAATAAAATATTTCCAGTGTAACGAAGATCGTTTCGTGATGCATAAAAATGTTTGCCATTTGTGTTTTATTGTTTAATTTCTTCGTATTACCAAAATACAAAGTTCGTGACGCGCCGGTGAGTCCCCGTGAGTTTTTTTGGGAGGAGGGAAGGGGAACTCAAAGAGACCGGTTGGGGGAGGGAAAAACAGCAGTGGGGAGGGCAGGGTGTTATTTGTTACGAATGTATTTATATTGATATAGCCACCCTATAGATCTTATATATAAAATCTATTTCAGAAAAGAAGTTGTCTTCCCCAAAAGTTAGCAAGGTGAAACGTTTTCGCCTTTTGTTTCCGGCGGTCCGTAAATCACTAGGAGTAGATGTTATTCTAGGCCTCTTTTTTTTTGATCCCCCTAATTCTCCCCTTCAATTGAAAATTCATTTCTATCAAAGCTGTATACAAACACTTGCCGCGACTCCCCAAGGAGCACCCCCAAGTAGTAACCACCGACTGGTCTACCACGCCCCAATTTCAATGAAAATCATAAGTGTACAAACACTTTTGGGACCCACTATATATAATTTGTGAATTGGAAATGGCAAACATAACAAATCAAAGAATGTTGCAAATATAGCCTTATCACCTTAAACAGGTAAAGTTTCTAAAGTAAGCTTTCAGATCAACATAAAAGAAACGCTGTTGATCAATATTCTTGGATTTAATAATAAAGCAGCATTTCATCTCAGAGACAGAGTCTACAAGCACAATATTAGCCTACAGAGGACTCAAAATTCTGACGCAAAAGGTACAAAAAGAAAAATATCACTTAAAGAAAAAAAAAGATCAATCTTTTCTGCACAATATCCAAATATAAAATCTGTGGATATTTCTTTTTAGTTGAAGAGATTCTCATGGGTATGTCAGAAAGATAAGTTCTAGATCTGGTTGTTCTCTCAAATGTACAAGAATCGCATTGTTTCATCATTTGGTAACAACACAGAATTCCCCCTTCCCCATTTCTAAGACATCTAGACAGTCAAGAATTTGCTGAATAATACATGGAGGAGGAACAAAAAGGAGATATGTAGACTGATAGACTATATAATCTTCTCTTAGTTCACTGTACATAGTTACTTTCTAAGGGAAAGGACAAAATGTTCAGTTTAATAATAGATGAACTGAAGTGCAAATCAGTGTGGACTATGGGACAAAAATATTCATCATTTATATTTTATAATATGTAGAAATGTGCATGTTTTATTACATAAAAATAAAAGGTTAACATTTTAAAGAGCATGAATGTTTCTTAAAACTACTAAACTTTTTAGTTGAAACTGAGAACTGATGTGCACTATTAATGTGATACACTAGTCTTTCTATAATTGCATATAACATTTCAGTACAGTTTGCTATCACACTTAAATACAAGTACAGAAAGTATAATGGAATAAACTATTTTACACTCTTGATATATAGATGCTCATAAAATAAATATACTATGGTTCTAATAATTATTTTAATTTTAAATACACAATCACATTTTACTTAATCAAAACCAGAATAATCAAAATTTTGGAGAAAAATGCTGAATGTGACATTGAAAATCAAATCATCTGCAAGGTTCTTAAAATGGCTTTTTGCACTGTGATATTATTTAGAAATATATATGCTTTCTTTTAATAATTATTTTTTAATGTACACAAATAAACTCAGCATAACATATAAAAATATTAGACTGATTAATTTTCTGTTCAAGAAATGTTTTTTTAAATACCTACGTTCACTGATGAATTATATTGATAAAATTCTACACTAAGAGATCCTTGTAAAAAAATTAAGTTATCAAAGACAGAAGTGTCAAATATTTCATTAAATTACTGAAATGCAGTATATTCCAAGTGAATTTTTGCCACTTTATAAAGAAAAAGTCAATGGCCTACCATTTATGCTGACAACATATTTAAGCATTTTACATTTTAAAGGATAATTTTTTTTAAAGGAGGGTGTAGGACACCTATGCATTTAATTTATAGTGCTATTATTGTATCTGTATATGAATGACTTATTCAAAAATTTAATGCATAAAATAAAAAAGAAAATATGTTTATAATTACACATACACTACTTTTTTATGAGATACATGTATAAGATTTGAAAAGGCCTTTTTGGTATTTATGGAAAGATATCAACAACAACCGATTATGACCTAAATACTAGCCCGAGTCATTTTCTTGTTATGAGACGCCTCCTGGGTCCTGGTTGGGTATTTACAAAAGGTTTTGAATTTATTAGTTTGTAAATCAAATAAATGAGATTTACTGTAATGAATAGCTTTCCATCAAAACAGTAATTTTTCAATGGGTTGTCACCAAAAATCTTTCCCCCCCCCCTTTGCAAATAATTCCTACACTTCGATTAAAGTCGCATTATGGATAATTAACTGGGGTAATATTGGGGGAAACATCCACCGTTAATTTATGAGCATCTACAGACTGGTTTATTAACTGAGTTCTTATCAGAGAAGAAACATCCTGTTTTCAAAATGTGGGTAATTTGCAGTCGCCCCTAAGATGATAAACAATCTACGATCATAGAAAAAATAGTTCAACCCAATTATCTGCTTTTCAAGCCAGGTTAATCTGGATAATAATTCATTTGATAACATAATTACTCAATATACAAAATAAATGAGCACGTTTATAAATAATGGAACATTACCGCTGAAGATATTGAGTAACATTAAATTACGGTAAATACAGACGTTGAAACTGTTAAAAACCAAACAGTGAAAGATACCAAATTCACTTGGGATGCTCAGAATCTTTTCTGTTAGCAGGATGATTATATTTATTTGATTATTTTTTATCATTGCCTATTCAATTTTAAATACATCCTGGCACAAATGAAAAAAACCTTTAGTTTTACCTATCCCGGGCCTTTTTGAAACTTACCATTATTTTTTTTTTTTTTTAGAATCATATCTGAATATCTCGTTTCCCTAAAATACTAGTGTTCATAGCCTTTTCACATCATACATATTCAGCCCCATGTACCTAGTATATTGTTGTAATAAAGCTAAAAGCCTTTTTGAGCCTTCCGTAAAGAAAAAGTCATCCTTATGTTTAAAATTTACATCCGAGTTTAGAATATGGATAATGCCTCACCCTCTGTATTAAAGATATGATTTTAAAAAAAAAAAAAATTTGACCTTCAGAGACAGCATACTGTTGTATATGGCTAATGTTTCTGCCGAACTGGGGGGGCCTCGCCTCTTGCGTACAACGAAGTTTCCAGCCGTCAGTAAGTTTAATGTTTGCATCTGTTTTGTCTGACTTCTACCAGGAGCCATCTTGTAAGGTGTGTTCTTATGCTTCCCCCCGTTAAACCGTCCTTAGCTTTGATAATTTCAGGGGGGTACTACGGTTAAAACTCTTATAAAGTTTACAAAAATTTTTCCTTTAACATTCGTTTATTACTTTGATAACCTTACTTTCTAAACTCTGGATCAACCATCATTTAAACAAATACTTTACTTAAAAAAAAAAGTTCCAAAAGAACAAAAGAAAGTTAAGGAGTTAGAGGATTAAAAAAAACAAAGTTAATACATAAATAATTTGTAGAGACATTAGGTTTTTTAAATAAGAGATATGAAAAATGAGCAAAGCCCTCGCCGGAACTCGAACCATGAAACTCTTGAATATGTGTTGAGTGTGCTGACCACTACACCACGAAGGCATTCTAAGGCGGGAAAAAGCCGGACAAATACCTAATCTCCCTTTTCGCGAACGGGTTAGGGTAACCTTCAGCTGTAGGTCTATTTTTTTTTGGGCTGACGGGAGCATTAGGATTTTGTGCTGACAGGTTGCCCCTTTGGTCGACAGGCCGTGGTACGCGCGAATCATTGATCACTACACCTAAGGCATGCTACAAGGGAGGGAATACTTCTCATTACAAAAATCTATTAGTTGATAGAGCCTCGGGTCTTGAGATTAGGGAAAGATTAGGATCAGTGGTGTACATGTGATGCACAGATATTGACTCCCCATTTAGAAAGATTCTATTGATGAACATGTTCATATAGAACTTTGACCAATATAAACCTGTTTGGTATATAAAAATTAGTGATCCCTTTTAAAATGATTTCTTTGTTGAGAGTGCAGGTTTTATGGAGGTTCTTGCGTGGCTAATGGATTTAAACAACCATGTCGAAATGGAGTTCAGAAAAAAAAGCTAATACTCTTGTATTTTAATTATTAAGGATTTTTTAATAGAGAACTTTGATTCTTCTGTTGAAGTGTTTTTGTTGGGCGCAGAGTGGATTTTGCAGGATTGAAGGATGTGCCTAATATATGCCATTTAGGTTGCACAGAAACCACGGGTAAAAATGCAATACGCCTCCAAACGAGGATCCAGTGGATAGAACTTCTATTTGGAAATATTCTGATTTCTTTGTGTTATTATCTTAAATGCCTTGATTTAATGCTTTTTCTAAAGTATGGAAAGGTTTCTAGAGTTTTGTTTCAAGTTTATTGGACAAACATACCATAGTCTGTTAAATCAACCAAAAGTTTGGTTTTATTACAGGTGGTAGCTTTTAACAGAAGATTTTGTTTATGTAATTTGCCCACTTGAGTTAGTAACGCATTTGGATAATATTACTTAAAGAACGCAATACAAATAGTGATAAGGAACAAAAAAGTGGGGAATGAAACATCAAAGGAAGTGGGAAAAAACAAGGCTTAAATTTAGGCTGGGCTTAAGGAAAAGGTGAGGGGACGAAGGGAAGGTGGTCCACTAAAAAGCTTTCCTGAAAAAAGAAGGGGTACAAAACACTGCAATTTTTACTCTCCTTCCTGTAGAGGAAAAAACCATATTTTATGACGAAGGTGGTATAATTTGCGATATTAAGAAAAAATTAAAGAACTAAGACCCCAGGACCCGTGTAAAACACAATTAAATGAAAGACCCTTCCCCATTACTTATCTAATTATAAACAGCATTCCTTCCCTTTCAAGGTGACTTTTTTTCCTTAGTCAAATGGTTTGCCATATTTGTATTGAAAGAATGGTTTACAAAGGATGCTCAAAGGGTTCTTGTAGTGCTCCACTGCTTCAGAACACCATAATGTATGGGTTGTTAAATTATGTGAATTAAAAATTGTATGAACTAACCTCATTAATGTCAATCAAACATAGTTTCAGGAACCAAGATTACTTTTCTAAATCAGGATATAATATGAAGTATTTGCGAAACTGTATTTCTAGGGTTTTTAAGAGAGCTCTAAAAATTTTTGCAAATAAAATTTCCCAGTTATTATTTTTTCCCTCCAATTATAAAACTGTCAGTAATCCAAAACATTTCAAATAAATCACTTTCCACCTGTTTTTTTTTTTTTTTTTTTTTTTTTTTCAAATGTTGGTTTGTTAAACTTTACCACTCTGAGTAAATATATTGCTATTTTTTATTTCAACAGACAAGTTGTTTAGCTTCTCAAAATTGTTTGATAGATAACAGTTTTGAAAACCATAAATTATTTTGAAAAAGACCAGAAAGATTAGAATTTTGTTCAGTTAAAAATATATAATTTCCTCTGTTAATAACAATAATTTTAAACTCCATCCTCTTGGCATCTATCTTACTTCAGCAAGCATTAATACATTTTGAATTTGGAGTCACCACTTTATGGAGATTTGAAAATAAATGGCTGTTAAGGGAATGGCTTTTAATTAAGTTTATTATTTTAAAAACATCCTGAAGCACACTGTTCAACTGCTTTGATATTTTTTTTGCTGCAAGTGCCTCTCTTCGATCAGGCAATGTGCAAAAGTTACATGATCATTGCCAACAGCTTTAACAAACGATATAAAACCAGTAATTTTACCTATCATCACTTCTGCACATCTATTCATACTCCAATACAATTTTTCCATTTTATACCTTCAATTTAAAAAAAATCCTCAATTTCACTACATATGTCTTCCTCTCTTGTACATTCTTCTATAGGATAGCAAAATAACAATTCTTCATCAAAGTTTTCTTTATAAAAGTATCTAACATATACAAACAACTGAGCTACTTTTGAAATATCATTTCTTTTGTCGAAGTGAACAGTAAATGTCGGGCTTTTTTTAGTAACAAGCTGCTTGAACTGGTTGCTGCTGAATTCAAAAAATGTATCAGCAACAATGTCATTTGGCAAAGGAATTTTCCTAATTTCATTAACATATTTACTTCTGTGAAGTATTTCTGCCATTTTAACAACAAAAGCATAAGATAATAGCAAGACCATCTCAAATAATGTGTGCCTTTTATTTTTAGCAATCAGATTCATTGTGACATGAATAAATATTTTGCAATAACAGTCATAAATTTCTCAAAATACTGGATGATTTTATTTGATGATTTTAACAACCATTTGAAATATTCTTTAATTATCTTATTAATATCAATATTTATTAATCTTAATGGGAAGTGGGAGAAATACCTTATACTATTAATAAGATAATTTAATAATTTCTGCTCTAAAATTATAAAAATAATCATTTTATTTGTTACCAACTTAATAAATATCAAAATCTTACGTTTAAAATTATATAAGAATTTGGAAAAACACATTTCCGTCACATAAATCAATACATTTCAATTGTTATGAAATCTCACTGAACACAAAAGTTGGCAAAGGTCTTGCCAAGCATTCCAGTAGCAGTTTCAGTGAACAGAACTATTTACATAATAACGAGATACAAATTACTGATATAACATATTAGAAACTTATACTACTTATCATAATTTTTCATATTATATCAGCACTGTTTATCCCGTTTTCAAAGTTGTGTATCATGGCTTCTTTTATGCCCAGATCCTGTAACTTTGAAAATATTCCACTTCATGCAGTCACAAATATTAATTATTCTTTCAAAATACGAGAAAAATATAATTTATATCTTTCCTTACAAAAATTAAATTGGATTATTGAGAATTGAGTTTACATTTAAATCAAAATGATCTTCCAATGATTGCTTTGAGATGTAATGTTTATCCATTATTGGAGCCATTTGGAGACAATGTATATCTGTTAATGATGTAAATGGCAAGCTCTAGAATGGCACTACAAATTTCTCATTTACTAAATTTTCTGGAAAAACAATTTTCTAAAATATTCCAGTTACTTGAGGTTTCTGGTTAGCTGAATGCCAGATGGTCCGGCTTTTACTATAGGTAATGCCAAAGCAAAAGTTTATACAGCCATGTGTTAATTTGTACTTCCCATATTAACTTAACTTGCATATTTGTTCTACATTTCCTGTAAATTGAAATCAATTTCGGTTACAGTATTAGTTTTGTGTAATCATCAGACTAATATGTTAACAAATATGTTTTCTTCAATTTGAGTTCTGTTTATTATAGTTAGAAGAGAATATAAATCATATTTTCGCATCGCTCCAGTAGGTTGGAATTTTAGTAAACTATACACAGTAAGTAGTAGAACTGTACCTATACATTTGCTCAAAGTGCAGCAATAATTATGCCACTAAATATAAAATAACTAAATATATAATAAATGAATAAATATTATTATGCCACTAAATATTTCTTTGATCTGCATTAGTTCCAACCTAAAAACTTAAAATAGCAATGTATCTTTATAACAGTGATTGCCAAATCGTCGATCATGAGCTACTGGTAGCTTGCGGGACATTTCCGATAGATCGGGTTACGTTCCGGTTGGCTAACCTTAATTCTTCCACTGAGCTGACACTGATGGCAGGGCCGCACATGAGAACAGCTTCTTTTTACTCCTGTGTAACTGCCATTATTAGCCTCATCTCATAGTTGATTGCATACGGGTGAAGTTGTGCATGTTATGTTTCGTGTGTATATGAGCATTTGCTAATTTGGATAGTTTGATTTACGCTTTGGTACTAAGCAAGGTCTGTTCTAATGATGGCGTGTTCAAACAAAAAAAGTTATCACTTTCATTCGGAATGGGAAACCGATTACTTTGTTAACCATGTAAAGGATAAATGTGTACGTTTAATGTGTTATGTAAGTGTGTAACAGTCGGGAAGAGTGGGAACATCGAACGTCACTTTAAAATCGTTCACGCAGGGATTGAGAAGGATTTCCCACTGAATTCTGCTCTAAAATAAGAAAAGGTACGGCAGCTAAAGTCTAAACTTAATGCTTATAAATAAACTTTCTTAAAATCATTATGCAAAACTAAAGGACCAATTAAGGCGTCATTCCGAGTTTCAAATATAATTACACAGAATAAGAAACCATAGGAAGATGGTAAAATAATCAAAACTGCATTTTTAGAAGCTATAGATGCATTATTTTATAGTTTCGAAAATAAGACTGAGATAATGTCCACTATTAAATTTGTACAGCTTTCTACAAATACAGTAATGAGAAGGTTATGAGTTCTGAAGTTACTCACAACTTAAAACTGACTTTGATTGCTTTGGCCATTTTTACAAGAATTTTTTCCCCCCCCCTTTTCTTTTCTTTTTTTTTTTTTTTTTTTTTTTTTTTTTTATGATTTCGAAATAAGAGAGGAGCTGGTAAAGATTATACCATTAATTGGATGCACTACAGGACAGTAAATATTTTTAGCTGTTAAAGATCTCATCAAGTCTGAAAATAGTCCTATAAATAAGTTGGTGTGCTTAGCAATTGAAGGAGCTCCTGCGATGATAGGCAAGATTTATAACCTTGTCATAAAGACAACGCTATCCGAAATTTCTCTTTTATCACTGCGTAATACAACAGTAATCACTGTGTGAAATGTTTTTAATTATCATGTAATGACAACAGTCATAAAAATAATAATAAATTTAGAGTACATGTAATTCAGAGGCATTTGTTCAGAGTACTGACTGATGAACTAGATTGCCAGTAAAGTGATCTAGTGCTTCATACAGAAGTTTGTCGGTTGAGTGGAGGCAAAGTTTTACAGCATTTTGAAGAATTGCTCCCTGCCTTAGTAGAATTTTTGAAGAACGAGGCGAATCCTTCCGTGAAGATCCGGATTGGCTACATAATTTTGCTTTTCTCACAGACATCGCCGAAAAGTTCATACTTAACTTGCAGCTTCAAGGTAGGGATAAAGATATTGGCGGAACAATTTCAGATGTGGGTTCATTCATCAAAAAGCTGGAACTGTGGGATAAAAATATCATCCAAGGTTAATGCAAACACACTGCCTGTTTGAAACAACCCCTCGAAAAGAAAGGGTCTTCAACGCCTCTTTAAAACAACAAACAATTAGTTAAAATTATTTCAGATTTGAGAAGTTTACAAACATTTCCAAGATTTCAAAAGGATTTCAATTGTTGTACAGCTTGTCAAATTGCCTTTTATACAGACTGATGTTGAAAAGTTCTCTACTTGTGTCATGGAGCATTTTTATTTTCAAGAAGCTTATGCTGCAGTGAAGTTTGAACTGACTGATTTTCAAAATGATTTATCTGTAAAATCCCTTTCTTCAAGCTCTGAAAATATTTGGCCGCTTGTTCATAAGAAAAATACCCAAATTTGGTCCAGGTTTGTTCCAAAATGAAGGCAATGTTCAACTCTACATATCTGTGCGAAATTTCTTTTTCCAATACGAAATTTATTAAAAATAATACAAAAACAGACTCCCTGTTGAACACTTGGATAACTGTATTTGAATGCGGCCACTACCTACTGTCCCAGCATTAAAAAACTTGTTGATGGCAAAAAAGAGTTCCATCCTTCTCTTTAAAGTTAATAAGTCTGATAAAAATATTTTATTACATTTGTTATTTATTACTAACTACACTTCAATTTCTTTCTTAAGTACAACTCAATTTCAGCTTCTTTTTGTTATATACAGTTTAATTAAAATTGATTTCATATTTACTAGAAATGTAAGTTAATAGGTAATAAACAAATGTAACATTACAGCAGGATTTAAAAATGGTACGGTAGCTCAGAAACTTTGTATGTTTGACAACCACTGCTTTGTAAGAAAATTGCCTAGTACAAAAACAACTACAGTCAAAAGTCATTAATCCAGACTCGTCGGGACTTCGGCAATTCCAGATTATCGATTTTTCCGGATTATAGATCATCAGTCTAAATCTGGTAAGATGGCATGCAGAAATTACAAAATTAAAAATATGAAACCGTAATTTATGAAATAAAGAACAATTATGATCTAAAGGGTATCAAAATTTACAAAAAGAAAAAAGCTTAATATTTATTTGTTTACTTTATTAAACATTTCTTTTCAATTTAAGTTGTTTAAGTTGCTTCGTTTCATGTGATAATACTTTCTCTTTAATTCTATTAAACAGACATAATTTCTTGTTTAGTTACAAAGTTCCGCTGTTCAAGTCCTATAATTGCTGAGTCGAGAATACAGACTAATTTGTCAATTGAAATTTTTTCGTTTTCAATAACCTCTGCGTCACTTTCTTCACTATCGGAAGCGAATTATAATGAAGAGGAACTTGATTTAAATCATATCAAAGACGGAGTACATCGAGATGAAATACTACATTTAGTAAGGAATTATAAGCCAAATAAAATAAAAACATCTGCCCATCATAAAAACATCTGATAAGGATAGTGCTGACAGATAAACTTCCAATTCGTTGCGCACCTCGTCATTTACCTCCCCCCGCAGAGCAGCGTGAAATTGATAAACATATTTCGGAATGATTAGATAATCAAATGTATGCCTTTATCCATTTTTTGCAGCAATTCCACTTTCTGTTTAATGGACTTCGAAACATACTTTCACTTTGTAGATCCTTAACATATTAGTAAATATATATCGGAAATTCTATTTGACATAATCGAAAGTTCAAGCTTACTTTTATAAAATTGCTCTAACAGTCTGCAAAAAATAATAAGCCGGATCCAATTCGAAGATTAAGGAACAATGCAATCTGCAACATTAACTGAATTAGATAATTTTAGCTTAGCTTATACCTTCCATTATATATTAAACGCGTATGCGTAAACGTATTATGCGCATGCGCACACGCATATTCGCAGCCGTAAAGGTGTTACGTGCAGGCGTAAACACCTAGGCGCATGCGTCAGCGCGACGCATGCGCAGAAAGTTTGTAGCTTTGAGGTCCAGATTATAGATTATTCCGGATTATGGGTGTCCGAATTAACAACTTTTGACTGTACCTCTTCATTTCCTGGTTAGCCTTAGCAACTCTTACTAATTGTGGTTTTACACTGCTTGAACACTTTTTTGATAAGTTCGTCAATTTTTTAAGTCAAAAAAAAATTACCAATTTCAAAATATTTTCCCTCGCAAGTTCTGGAATCCAAGATGCAGAAGCTACATGAAAACGCATCTCAACTTTAGTATTCACTATAAAAGAAGAAAAAAATATTGTGATTCTAAAAAATATGATATAAACGGTTAAGAAATAAAAATTACTTTTGCAATGGAAATTAAATATTTTATGCATATTAAAAATATAAAACCAGATATTCCCTAACAAAAAAAAAATAGAAAATAAAGGATCTATATACACAATAAAACATACGAAAAACTAATTTTAATTTTTAAGCTGGACATTAAAAAAAATTAGTTCAATAACTAACAAATTTCAATGATGTCTTTTAAGGTTTCATGGGTAAAAATTAATTTACGGGTACCCCTTGGTGAAAATTAGCGATTTTTGGCAGTACATGAATACCGAGTTTGTGCAATTCTTTGACTTTTTATTTTGGTTTGTGTAGCAAATAATTGAAATATTCAACCATGGCTGAAAAAACTTGAATTGTTACTCAGATAAGTTTGTTTTTTCCTTTTGAGTCTATCCATTTCCAGGATCATATTTAACGCTGTTCCACAGTTAGGCTTTTGTATGAAATTTCTTCCCATGGTTATATACAATGGAATGCATGTACTTTACACGAATGGTCAAGCTAGTACTGTATATTCCAGCGTATAATAATATAATGTATATAATGTGCACTATTAATGCAAAAAGTAAGACTGAAATTTACGGATACATGTTATATGCCGGATATAAAAATGATAGACTTAAAATTAAAGAAAAGATGAGTATGCAAAAAATTAGATTTCAACATGTACCTAAATGCTGTTTTTTTAAAAGAAATGGCATACCTTACGAACTTAAAAATTTTCATTATCAAATAACATGGAAAGTTCGTCACATCTTCCATTATATCTTCAGGCACATCATTGAATTCTCTTTCATCTTCATCATCAGTGTTACTCTAATACGTAAATAAATAATCATCTCCCATTCCATCTATATTGTTAGATATACTACACCTTTTTAATGACTTTTGAATTATGATGGGTTTAATCTCATTCTGTGCTTTTATTATCCATTCACACACTACTTCTAGACTGGCATGCTCATTTGGCCTCCTTTTTTCTGTAAATGTTTTTTCACCTTCTGACATCTATGTATTCTATTGTCGTTTTAAATCTTCTTTGAATGGTTATAAATTATCTTTGAAAGGTTTTATTCCACTGTCATTTTAAATTTTCTTTGATTGGTTTTTGAATAGTTAATTTTCTTTTAATGGAGTGGTATTTATACATCTGAAGATTGAACTAATGGCGTTAACCACCTAGAACAACTGCCATGTCTATTTCAAAAATTTCTTCATATTATATATTAGATGTGATCTGAACATGTCCCATCTAAAAGACTTTCTGGATTTTAAAGCAACAGGATGCTTTTGCCAAACATTTCTTACCTATAATTTCACACCATTTTTGTACAAGAATGAAAACTCCATTTGGGAAATTACATTTTGACATTGTCTTTCTTTTAAAAATAACCATGGGTTTTAATTTCATAACATTTGCTAATCAGAAGTGCACTACAGTGAGATAAGATTTTTTTTCCTGTTGTTTTATGTGAGCCATTTAACCATGGGTTTTAATTTCATAACATTCACTAATTAGCAGTGCACTACAGTGATATAAGTTTTTTTGTATTTATTTCTGTTGTTTTATGTGAGCCATTTTTACTCCTTTTGGATTTTTTTTGTTTTAAATTTTATTTTTTATAATATCAAATATTGCTGAATTTTCGTCCATGTTTCCAATAGGTGACAGTTAATAATATTTTTGGCTTTGTAGGTCAATAACATACTTCTGGAAAGTTATCAATTTGTTGTCCAAATGTTTTGGAAGCCTTTGTGAAACTTAGTTTTTCCCCATAGAATTAAATCATTCCTTGCCATAAATTGATTACACCAATTCAAAGTTGCTTTAAAGTTTTCCCTTTTAGTTGTACTTTTTCCCACTTCAAGGCACTTTTCTTACAATTAATCTATTCTAGTGATTTTCTTAGATCCAGTTTGGAACACATTCTTCTAGGATAGGCCATTTCGTTACTCTTTATACAAAGCATATTTATTCTTTGCCATATTAATTACTGTGATTTCCTTTTTCTTCCACTCATATATGGAGCTTTCACCAGTACCAAACATCCTTGCTGCAGCTGGATTTCCATTTTCTTTTACAAACTGAATGACTTTTCGTTTGAAAGACTTCAAAAGATAAGAATATCGCGTATGTTATCTTCCAGGTTTCTTCACAAAGAAAAGGAAGTGCATTATACGACAAATATACCTAAAAATTAATAAATGTAGTTTGAAATTGTAGGTGAGCATTATACACTGATGCACATTATACGCCCGAAGATATGGTATGTGTTTGATAAATTCTGTTGAAAATGAGTCTCAGGTTTCAAGAGTTTGATAATGACCTTTAATTACTAAATTTCATATTTTTAATAAATATGGGTGGATTTTTAAAAGCAGCATCTTTAAATTTCTTTTTCCTCAAATGCACATTTTAAATTTTGCTTTATTTAGAAACTTTTAATATTAAGTAAAACTTTTTTTTTTCCCTTCTTAATATTACTCTTATTTGAAGGTTTTGACAGATCCGAGATTAGAGAGATTAAAGAATCTTTCAGATTTCAGATATGCATTCAAGTAATTTAGAATTTATTCTACCTCTGTTTTCTTTTTCCAATGCAAGTTAAAACCGTGCTTATTTTCAATATTGTTCAGTAAGATCTGAAATATATCATAACCTTATTATTCAGACAATATAATAAATATGTCAATAATAAACATATAAAATGCCATTTAAAGAGACAACAACTCTAAAAAGTGGTAAATGCAATCGGAGTAACAGAAATTTTATTTGATAACTTGACTCTTTGAGATAATAACAATCTGACACTAAATATGCAAAATTGCTAATACCATATTTCATCAGTTGGCTTTTCAATGGTTGTATAACACACTATGCAATTAAGAGATGTAATAACAGAAATCCATCACTCATTCGTAGGATCAATTACACCTAATTAAAGAGGCAAACTTCCCCAATCTAAATGATTATGCAACACTTTTAATTTAAATTATAATATTATTTCATTATAAACATTCATGAAACAGTTGGTAATATATAAAATTAATTTTTAACATTTCTTACCTTTATTTACATTTTGCCCACCTGGACCACTACTCCTTGAATATGTAATTTCTAGCTGATCTAAAATTTGAAATATTCAGCTATTATTACTATCACAAGAAACTAAAGAGAAAACATGAGCATTAAAATTATAACTCATCACTTTTCCTAAGGTTGATAATCTAAAATTAATCATTTTAAATTCTTAGCAATATGAAAGATTTTATATCAGAAGATTTAAAGAGTTTATTATACTTTTCCTTTTAATGCTAAGTAGCTGATTTCTTATATGAACAGTGCACATATGTAGAAAGTTCATATGATATTTGAAACTAAAAACATTATCTATCTAAAATTTCAGTTTAGAATAAAAGATATTTTAAAATGGTTACTATTGAAATGAAAATCCAGGCTGCATAGCTTTTTGGACTCAAACTGGGTCATAATGTGAATACAATAATAATCACAGTAAAGCTTCTGTGAGATTACTAGGGAACAAATATGACTGATTTATTCTTTCTTTTCATGCAGTTCTTTGCGATCAACATTGTTTTAGCAACTGATATATGCTACATTTAAAAATTTATTGCTGTTTCTTTGGCTTTATGTTACAATATTAGATTTTCAGCAAACTCTAAGATCACTGATGCAGCCACAAGAACATACAAGTTATAGCAATACCAGAAATAACATATTCATCCCAACATGGGTTACAAGAATGCAACAACAATTAGCAAGCTAAGCGAGAATAAACATGCTTGAGGTAGAACAAAAACATGCAAATATACATTCCTGGAGAAATTGAAAAATGATATCATGTATGCCTATGCACTGAAGCTTCAGTCCACTAACAGAAAAATCAATCCCATAAATGCCTGTGGCTAGCAATTATAGCAACCAAACTCGCAACACATGCTTAAAAGTGATGATGAGTCATGACCTTCAACACTGCACTTTAAAATGATGTGGAAGAATTTATAGCAACCCAGAAACTAACAGTTATACTGAGACATAGATTTCATATTGGCTATGGAATATACTTTTGGCTCAAAAGTATAATATTCGGTTTCTAATCAACAGGTCTGAATTTGACCTTTAAGGTGACAGATGAGCCATAAACAGTTTGAATTTAAAATCACTACTATTTTCATTACAATAAGATCAGAGAATTAACTAGCAAATTAAGATGGTTCCATGCAGCTTGATTAAAAATCTTTAAGCAAGTAAATGCCGTATATCTTTGTCAGAAATTATATGCCTTATTATATATTCACTGCTGATTCTCCAAAATGCAATGCAAAGAAGGACAAAAGAAATCAAAGCCAAATCTATCTCCTAGATTTCTATGTCAGAGATTACATATAGTATCAATGTTAACTGATTTGAAAATACAGCCTTCTTCAAGGTAAAAAAGATGAGAAAATCAGTCATAAGTGCTGCCTCCAAGTTCATCAATAAATGCTGCTACACACCATGGCATTGAATAAAACAGGCTTTGGATGTGTTGTTGGGGAATGGCAGCCCATGCTGCTTCCTCACATAGCCAATGAAGTACTCAGGTATACCCACGGGTGCAGCATGGCAGGCTATGCATACTCCAGTCACTGACCAGACATGTTTGATGGGCAGTAGATCTGGAAAACAGGCAGGTCAGGGTAACAATGCAATATGATGGGCCAAGAAGAAAGCTTGAACAATGAATGCAATGCTACTCTGCTGAAATGGGGCCATGCTACCATGCTGAAATGGGGCCACAAGTAAGGTAAAATGGGGAAATGGAGCCACAAGTAAGTGTATAGTCATGCTACCCTGCTGAAATAGGGCCGCAAGTAAGCCCTGAAAGTAAGAAAGGAGAACAGGCTCCAAAACCTCAGAGATACAGCATCGGCTGGTAAGTACCTATAATGCATACTAAGGGGGTGTAGAATGGAATTCAATACCACCCCACATCATAACACCGGTGCAGGACCAGTATGATGATGCAAAACACAACAGTCGAGCAACTTCTCTCCATGGTGTCTTCAAATACTAATTCAACCATCGTGGTACTGCAGGCAGAAGAATGATTTGTCCAAAAACCAAATGTCATGCCATTTGGATGTCCATCTCTGCCATTCAGTATACTATTTCAAAAACAAATGCCCATGGTTTAAAGATAAGTGAAGCAATGGATGCCAGCGGACAGTCCGCTGTACTGTAAATGATATCAAATTGTTAGTACAGACACCGACTGCTGTGTTACAGACTACATTTGTTGTGATATTGTTGTGGATGTGGCAGTGCACTCCATCAATGCAATGTACACAATATGCGTGTCTTTCCGTGCAGTGGTATGGCGAGACAGTTGCAATGGCCTCTTGTCCATTAGTTGTTCCCTCCTGTATCCACCAATTCCACTTCATATGACTGTTACTTAGCTACATCTGACACAATGACCAATTTTCTTGAAATATAAGCTGAAATCTCTGTATGTAATTATTTTGCCTCGATCAAACTCAGAAAACATGCTCAAATAAAGCTTTTGGTTTTCTACAACGCATACTGAAGTTGCACGCACAAAAAAAATCTTGCGAGAAAACAATTCACCTTATTTAAAATGGCAATATTTCCTCACTTTATATATGAACTGTAAGGAGTGCTGCAGTCATCCATAATGTGCATGTGCTCTGAAATTATAATCATTGCATATTCGATCGTGATAGACACACAATACAAGTTTCATGCTGTCTGGATGATTTTTTTCATAGTGTTACATTTTGGGCAGCCAGCAATTTAATAATGTATTAAAGTCTAAGTTAGGAAATCAGTACTATTCACTTCACAAAAATGATGTAAATAACGCTAGATTATTCATAAAACTATGAAGAAAATAAATATAACATTTTCTGCAGGGAAAACACTTACCAACAGGTATAATTCCAGAAAATTTTCCATCTTGTCTTTCTACAGGCTAAAACAGAAAAATATTATTATTATATAATGAAAAAGAACAAAAAAAATTACTTTTCAAAATTTAACTGCAGTGTTTTTACAAACATCCTATTTACAAATTATTGCATTGGTCATGAAATGTGCACATCTAAAAGTCTTTTTAACAGCATTCTCATTTATAGGCTTTCAATCTTTGCTGCCATTAAGAGTTTGAAAAACAAACAGTCTTCTATATAATATATCGATATTTTTATAAACATTCTTATTTATCATAAATAAAAGTTTTATTATATAGCACCAAGCCTGGATTTTATGCAATTACCATATATTCTGGTATACAATGTGCACTTGTAATACAAAAAACAAGATCAAAATTTATAGGTGCATGTTATACACTGGATATAAAAATGATAAGATTTAAAATTAAGGAAAAAATGAGAATGCAAAAATTAGATTTCAACATGTACCTGAATGTTTCTTTTTTTTTTTTTTTAAATGATATAACTTATGAACTGAAAAATTTTTCATTATCGAATAACATGAAACGTTGGTCCCATATTCATCTTCCATTATACCTTCAAATTATATTTCATCTTCACCATAACTGTTAAATAAAATAATATAATCTTCCATTGCAACTGTTAGATATACTATACTTCTTTAATGACTTTTGAATTATGTTGAGTTTTATTTCATTCCATGCTTTTATGATTCACTCACACACTGTTTCTAGACTGGCATGCCATTTTTTTTTTTTTTTTTTTTTTTTTACATCTTTTTTTCACCTCTTAACATCCACGTACTTCACTATTGTTTTAAACTTTCTTTGAACAATTATTTAATACATACATCTAAAGGCTGAACTAATGGCATCAATCCACCTTGAATACCTGCCAAGTCTGTATTACACTTTTTCAGCAATTTTTTATTATTATCCATTAGATGGGATAAGAGCATCTCCTAAACTAAAAGACTTTCTAGATTCTTTAAGGGAACAGAACACTTTCATCAAACATTTCTTATCTATTTCACATGAACATGAATGAAAACACTTTCAGAAAATTACATTTAAGCACTGTCTTTTAAAAATAATCAGGGTTTAATTTTTTACTGTCTGCTAAATAGGAAAGCACTATGATGAGGTGAAAATTTTCTCAAGAACCATTTTTGTTCCTTTCACATCAGTTGTTTTATTTCATATCTTATCAAACATTCCTGTAGTTTGATCCATATTTCCAATAGACAGTAAATAATTTTTTGGCCTGGTAGGTCAATAATATACTTTTCAAAATTTATCGATCTGCTGTCCAAATCTTTCAGATGCCTTTGCCAAATGTTAGTTTTTCTCGTGGAACTAAATCATTCCAAGCCATAAATCAACTATACCAACTTAAAGTTGCTTTAGAGTTTTCACTTCCAATTGCATTCTTTTTTTGCCCACTTTAAGGCAAATAAATGTGCACTGTTTTTGTCACAATTAATGCATTCTGGTGATTTTCTAATGGATCTTTCATCAACATCAAACATCCTTGCTGCAGCACGATTTCCATTTTCTTTGTCAAACTGAATGACTTTGCATTTGAAACCAGCATTGTGTTTGTTTTGTTTGGTAGGAGCTATATTCTCAACTGAAAGGAACAATAGATCAACTGTATTTTAAACAAACAAATGTGATTTACTAAAGCTTCAATGTTCACTTCAAAATCGCGACTTTGAATGACTACAGAAAGAGAAAATATCTAAATCCTAATTCTGCGAATTCATTTGGGTCAGAAGTGCATTCTTATTTCAAATAATGTGCTTCTTTTCTTCAAACCCTCAAATAAGATTCTTGCACATACCTGCACTGAATACAACCTACCCTCTCTGCAAAGTTATTTAGTCCCTCTAGCATTTCTCCTACACACATATTGTTTCCCTTATCGCTTGTCAATTTAGTATACTATCATTCGAAAGCCTGGGGAAAATGTTCTAATAAATGACTTCAAAAGATAAAAGCATGACATATGTATCTTTCAGGTTTTTTTGCAAAAAAGGATGCACATTTCAAGGTGAATATACTTTAAAAATGTAGTTTAAAATTATAGCTGTGCATTACATGCTGGAATTACTTGGCACATATTTTGTTATTTATCAACCAATTAATTCCTTTAATTTTCAAAAATATTTTTAGGCCCCAGTTAACTGTGGATATAGAATTTGCACAAGAGGCATGAACATATATTAGAATTACAGTAAAATTAATATAAGCTTACATTTAAGGTGAATATACTTAAAAAATGTAGTTTAAAATTATAGGTGTGCATTACATGCTGGAAAATACAGTACTTTGCCCTTCTCCATCTATTTAAAGATACATCATAAATAAAATTACTATTTATAAGTTTATATACAATACTTCTCAATTATCTAACCGAGGGAAGACCTAACCAAAAATATTTATGTCAATAACCAGACATAAATGCTAAATTTATCTATACTGTGAAGTATAAAGCCCACTTTCAGGAGAACAAAATAATAAAACCTCTGTTTCTTTATCAAAGCTATGTACAAACTATGAAACATTAGTCAAAACTACACCTGCATATATGTGTTTATAATCAGCATTACAGTAGGAACAGAGAATTTGTACCTTTAAGTTGTTATATTTCATCCTTCTCCTACTTGGCGCATACGTATTTTGGTATTTATCAACCAATTAATTCCTTTAATTTTCAAAAATATTTTTAGGCCACAGTTAACTGTGGATATAGAATTTGCATAAGAGGCATGAACATATATTAGAATTACAGTAAAATTAATACAGGGGTGTTTGTGGGACCCCAAAAAATCCCCTGAAACTTTTACGGACTTACTACCTACATTTTGGAGTTTCGAGAAGGGGGGGGAGAGAAATGAAAAATTACAATTATGAAGTATTGAATGACCTAATTATAAAAGTTCAATGAATTATTTTTTTTGCAAAATTAATAACCATAAATTTTCGAACATATAAATACTACATTTTATGTAAATATTTTTAAATTACCTGAATTAATTCTTTAAAAAAAAATTATCTAATTTCTGCTGCTGCTTTTTTTTATTTTCTGATGTTTGTGGGCTTGTCTTTCTTTTGTGGTGAACTTCATAATTGCAGGAAGGTTGACTTTTATTTTCCTCATTTACAGTTGAAGAAATTTCCTCGAGAACTGCACATGCAGAGGTAGAAGCAGTTTGCTTTTCTGCTAATGTAGAAGTTTTTCAGAGACTTTTATAGGTGACGCATCTGAAATACATGTTTTTAAGTCCTCTTGATATGTTTTCCAACTTCTGTTCATATTCAGTAAGAGATCTGTGTGAATTGGATCAGTCATTGGATTTTTTTTGCCATATTTTTCACATGAGGTTTCTTTAGAAGCCATTAAATCATACTTAATAGTCTGCACTGCATCTATGGAATGAATCTTAAGAGAGGTTCTATAGTCAGTGACAAGTGTATCCATTAAGTTGAATGCACTTTCCACTAATGGGCCATGGAAGCAGCTAAGGCAAGCTTTGACCAATTTAGCCAATGTAGGATACTTATAATCATTTGTGAAATCATCTTTTAAATTAAAAACTTTAGACCAATGTTTATCAATTGTACATTTGACTTGATTTCCACTTTCATCAGATGTGGAGAGCATTTCTTTGGTGATATCAATATCACTCTGGTATAACCTTATTTCAGCTTCTACTTTTGACTTTTCATTATCACTAAAAATATGGGACATAAAAGATGATAATTTTTCAAAAGCTAATATTGTACTGGTTTTACCTCTTAGCTCTGGATCTAATGCTGTAAAACTAATTAGATATGAATTTTTTTTACACGTGCATCAATAAAGGAAACGAAAATTTTACACAGCGGAGAAAAAGAAGTTGAGAAGTGATCAATGACAAATAGCTAATACGGCGAAAAATCCCCCTTCTCTACTTATTGGCGCCACGCCAGGAGAGATAAGACCTTTGAACCCAGAGTCATGTGATCGCACATCTGGTCGAACGAAGTCTCTCCCTTTTTTTACTGCCGCGCCTACTTGCCGAAAAGAATCCAGAAGAGAATGTCCGAGAACTGGGGGAATGAGTCATAACTCGCAATAAGAAAAGAACAAAAAAGAAGCTTTTTCCCCCTTTTCACACATTATCACTGCCTTTGGAGAAAGAAAGGAAAAGTTTTCACCACACACACTGACCTTGCGTTTTCTGCTTTCAAAGCAAACAAAATTACCCGGATCAAAATAAATAATTCATTATTATTCCTACTTCCTTTTGAACGACGATCCCTGGAATTTCCGGGTATCGAAGTTCAAAATCCCCGGAATTCCAGGGTTTCCCCGGAGCACAAACACCCCTGTTAATATAAGCTTACATTTAAGGTGAATATACTTAAAAAATGTAGTTTAAAATTATAGATGTGCATTACATGCTGGAATATACAGTAATTTGCCCTTCTCAATCTATTTAAAGATACATCAATAAAATTACTATTTATAAGTTTTATATACAGTCAAAAGTCTTTAATCCGGACTCGTCGGGACTTCGGCGATTCCGGATTATTGATTTTTCCGGATTATAGATCATCAGTTTAAATCTGGTAAGATGGCATGCAGAAATGATAAAATTAAAAATATGAAACCGTAATTTATAAAATAATGAGCAATTATGATCTAAAGGGTATCAAAATTTACCAAAAAAGAAGCCTAATATTTATTTGTTTACTTTATTAAACATTTCTTTCAACGCGCGGATGCGTTAAGCATACCTTACGCATAGCCGAAATTAGAAAATTGCAACCAGAAAACTATTTGATTTGTATTCGTGATATTTATAATGACGAGGAATTTGATTTAAATCATATCAAAGACGGAGTACATCGAAATTAAATACTACATTTAGTAAGGAATTATAAGCACAATAAAATAAAAACATCTGCCCTGAAGATAACGATAGTGTTGACAGATCAACTTCCAGTTCATTGCGTGCCGCGACGTCCCCCCC